ATATCGGAGATATCTGTCTATGAAAACACAATGAGCTATTTCAAGTTTTCCCAGGGCACCTCTTTTGCCTTATAACTAGGTCGGGACTCTGCACATAGCAGGTATTAAATAAATGCTTACTAAAGGAAAGAATAGTTCCTGCCCATAATAATAAGCAGGCAGTGTCCAAACACAACTTCTCCAGGAGCTCTCCCACATACCTGCAACAGCTCATCACGGGAGATCTTGTCATCTTTATCCAAATCATATAGTCGAAAAGCAACTGTAAGGGAAAAACACAAAGTTAGTCGAAATTCGGTAGTGTGTTGCCCCTTCTCAAGGAACTAAATATATGACACTAGACAGAAAATTGACAGCCAATTAATCGATTTTTAAAGAACAACTGCCATTACTTGCAGGGCTTTAAAAAAATTGTAACACTGAAGAACTGAGAATTGATGTGATCTTAGATTGCATGAAGTATGGTCTCTCTTCCAACAAATCAGAAAACTTCATAAAAAGAAAGCCAAATGTCCTTTTTCTTAACCTTGAATGTTAAACAGCCCCCAAACATCCCTTATGTGGTTCTGTAAGTTAGGTCACCTCACACAAACATCAATTCTACCAGGCACCACTCAAGGAAAACCAACAATAGGTGCCCCACAGGCACCATGAGAGCTGACGACACAAAGTGCTGCTTTGGGAATAGAGCCTCCTGGGCAAAACTGTCTCAAATTTCAAGTAATTCTCTATCACTGGGGAGTCCTGCAGATAAAGAAATTGAGTTTCAATCTGGGCGAGGTGGCTCACGCTTGTAATCCCAGCACTTTGGGAGGCCAAGGTGGGTGGATCACGAGGTCAGCAGTTCAAGACTAGCCTGGTCAACACCATGAAACCTCGTCTCCACTAACAATACAAAAATTAGCTGGGTGTGGTAGTGGGCACCTGTAATCTCAGCTACTCAAAAGACTGAGGCAGGAAAATCACTTGAACCTGGGAGGAGGAGATTGCAGTGAGCTGAGGTTGTGCCACTGCATCCCAGCCTGGGTGACAGAGTGAGACTCTATCTCAAAAAAAAAAAAGAAATTGAGTTTCAAATAAATATGATGGCTCAGATGGTCTCCTGGCCTTATCCTGTTTCTTTCTCTTTAAGCCTTCTAGAAACTAGGATATATGAGAACTTTGCTTGGGTCCATATGAGAGAGAAATCAGAAGAACAAAATCATTAAATTTCTACCATGCTGCTGAAAGGCTACCAACAGAGTAGGGTAATAACACTGGGTGATTTTATAGGTGCCATGAGAAAAATTCACCCTGAGGACATGAATGTCTTCTCCCACAATTGAATTTAGCATGGTTTTTAGGTTTTGAATCACCTGAAGAATGCCACTAAGAGTGTAGATCATAAATAGGGTGTCGCAAATACTAAAAGGCCCAAATCCACTGCTCTAGACCTATTAAGATTTATACTGTCCTTAGGAACTCACTATCTCATACAGGAGAGCAATACACACGACCCCCTCAAATATATCCTAAGCTCTACAACACATCCAAAATGCGGGGGTAACAAAGTGTATGGCAGATGCAGCTTTTTAGTGGAGCTGGGGAAACATCAAGGAGAGGTTACATTTGAACAAGGCCTTGAAAGACAAATAAAAATGTGACAAGGGGTGGGCATTCCAAAGAGCTATTATTTGGCACAAAGGCATGAGAACATGGATTCATATCTACAGGTTTAAATATCCTTGCCGGCGGTGGTGACTCATGCCAGTAATCCCAGCACTTTGGGAGGCCAAGGCAGGTGGATTACCTGAGGTTGGGAGTTCGAGACCAGCCTGACCAACATGGAGAAACCCCATCTCTACTAAAAATACAAAAAAATTAGCCAGGCATGGTGGTGCATGCCTGTAATCCCAGCTACTTGGAAGGCTGAGGCAGGAGAATTGCTTCAACCTGGGAGGCAGAAGTTGAGATGAGCCCAGATTGCACCATTGCACTCCAGCCTGGGCAACAAGAGTGAAACTCCATCTCAAAATAATAATAATAATAAAGAAAGAAAATAAATATCCCTGCCCTCCAAAATAAAAGGGTGAGTCCACTAAAAGATGAAGTAAAAATAGACCAGGCACGGTGGCTCACACCTATAATCCTGGCACTTTGGGAGGCGAATCCACTTTGGTGGATTGCCTGAGCTCAGGAATTCGAGACCAGCCTGGGCAACAAGGTGAAACCCTGTCTCTACTAAAATACAAAAAATTAGCCGGGGGTGGCAGCATGCACCTGTAGTCCTAGCTACTTGGGAGGTTGAGGCAGGAGAACGGCTAGAACGTGGGAGGCAGAGGTTGCAGTGAGCTGAGATCATGCCACTGCACTCCAGCTTTGGGGACAGAGCGAGACTCTGTCAAAAAAATAAATAAATAAATAAAAATAATTTTAAAATCTAATTTAGTCTTTTAAGTTATATATCAGAATTCTGGAGAAAGGAATTAGCTAGAAGAGACTTTCTGATTTTTTTTTTTTT